CAAATTCCATCAGTGTCAATCTGTTCATAAGACCGACCAGCATAGTTGCCAAAGGATTCCACCTCTGCTTTCCAGGATTTATCCCAAGTCGTTTTAAAATTTTAGAATATCCAAGTTTTGCAGCAGAAGACAATTTTTGCCTTTCTAGTAAACTGATTTTGGTTCAATTACATGTTTGTTGTAGCTTATACGACAAATGATCGACAAGTTTATCATGGTTTTGTTTATTCAGTTGATTTTGCCAAATTTTTTAAGCAAGACAAATTTTGTCAGCAATGCATTTGAAGATTTGTCTGCTTTGGTCAAAATTTGTCAAGTCGCGACAAACCATCCGCACTTGTAAAATGTTGGCCATGATAGAAAATTTGTCGAAATAAACAACTTTGTTGCCAGTGTGGAAAGGCCCTAACACAGACTCAAAGGAGCAGACAAGGCAAAATTTACCCAGTAGATATACAGTACCTGGCCTCCTTGAACAGTACAGCACTGGCAAGCATTCATATTACAGCACAGAACTGCAGCCCAGATTCCAATGCCAAACTCAACAATACCAAGAATTAATGTGATTACTGTAACAGCCATTTCTGCATCATAGTTGTACCAGTAGCGCTGATAAAAATCATCTTCATACCAAGGAGAAGTACGATACATTGCAATAGAAATACTGAAACAGATGATTATTATTCCTCCAAACACAGCAGAGGTGATGGCACAACCCATAAAAGCAGCAGCCTGAAGAAATCAAGACACAAAAGAAATAAAGTAATAATCCTCTAATCAATACTTTTTTTCAAATTCTCATCATTTGCCTGCTTGATATTGTACTGATAGTGAAAGGAAAATTTTCATTTTAGTCACTAATGGAAGTTAGAGGGTTAAGTCCCAGCAGTGATGTAATTGGTAACTTCTCCAGACCCATAGTATCCCTAAGCAAACATTATCCAGCAGTTGGTAATGATTTACTCAAACTTATCACATAGAAGTTGTTATCTTGATCAAACACCAGATTCTCCTAACTAATTAACAAAAAAATGTGTAGTAGCTAGGGGGTAGGACTATAGAACAGAGCATAAGCCTTGAAGGGTTAAAGACCAAGACCACAACATTTCAATGATTAGATCTAGAAAAATTTCAAACTCTCAATGTTGTTTTCAAATTCATTAAAGACCCAGTTTTTACCATGATGCATTGCACACAACATTCACCATTGGTGACCATTAACTTGATGGTGAGTATTTCACGAGCTTTGGGAAAACGATACATGCTTCCTTCTTATGGAAACCTTTACAAAAAAAGAGCCACCCAATGCATAATGGCTAATACTGGGTCATAAAGAATAGTTGTTACAGTCAAAGTACTATTCCTGAGTAATAAGGATACATGTACCACAAAGTGTTAACCCTCTAACTCCCAGATCAAATTTGTAATTCTCCTTACTGTCAACCATACAATTCTTATAATGTAAGTTCAGAGAATTTAGTATTGGATCAACTAATTATCCCCAAATTGATATTATTCTTTATTCTCATAACTTATCTGGTTGATATTGTATTGATATTGTAAGGAGAAATTCTGTCTTGGTCACTCATGGGAGTTAAAGGGTTAATATTTGGTTCACATGTGCTTTGAGGGGACTACCACACTTTTATTACAAATGAATTGATGCTTGCAGTTCTTTTTAAAGAAGATATGACATACCCAAGACCATAAAATTTACTCAGATGGGCAGCTCTGCAACACAACCACAGAGGATTTGGACAGGTTTCAGTTTGTAAAGCTCACTGATATTTGAGACAAATTGCATTGTGTCAAAATTCATAACTGCACCCCCCCTCCTCCCCCTTTGTGTAATTTAATGGCATCTACATAACGTAAAACTGTGGATCCCCAAAACCTTCAATACAAGCACAAAAACAGGGTAATCATGGTAAGTTTGAAAGATTACAACTTACAAAAGCTTGACTTGATGAGTTCCTTTCTCTGTTACTACCTGGAATCCCAAGAGATCCTGTGACAATCATCTGAAGGCAAGAAACAAGAAGACCAAAGAGTAGTTTGTTAGTTTTACAGTTGTCTTGACTGTGAATATAAGAATATTATATATGTGAACTGCAGATTAATAAATGAATATGAAATTGATCTTTGAAGTAATAAACACCAATTAACCCTTAAACTCCCAGATCAAATTTGTAATTCTCCTTACTGTCAACCACACAATTCTCATAATGTTAGTTCAGAGAATTTAGTAGTGGATCAACTAATTATCCTCCACTTGACATTTTCCTCTACTCTCATCACTTATCTGGTTGATATTGTATTGATATTGTAAGGAGAAATTCTGTCTTGGTCACTCTGGGAGTTTAAAGGTTAAGCCGTTATAATGATATTTGGAGGAGTTGAACCCATGACCTCTGTGATACTGGTGTTGTATACTGTAATTAAAATATTGAAATTTTTAATCCCTTCCAGAATGCTTTATTAGCAACATGCCACATGACATATTGTATTGGAATCTGCATAATTTAGTTTGAATAGTTTTGCATCATTTGTTTTCATCGCTCACTTATTCATTTTGTGTAGCACTTGCATATTTGTTGTATAGTAAAAAAAATGGTTATAAAAGACCTCATAGGTTTTCATGGTTGACATTGACTCTATACTATGACAACAGGTGCAGTGCTCTACCAACTGAACTAACAAGTCAACTGGGAGCTGGTCATATTCAGTTACTGTAAATGTTGTCAAAATATTTTGTCCAAGCCTCCACTTGCAATAAAAATCTCAATCAAGCTAACGACGACCTCAATTTGAATGAAAAGAACTTCAACTTACTCCATTACAACAACTGAGGCAGGCTCTAAGAAGAGTCTGATTGATAAGAATCACATCCAATATTACTCTTAAACAAGAAATGTTCAAATAATTTCTGGAAACCTGGAACAAACTCCATCGTCTATTATGATTGAAATTAATATTTGCGTTATGATTCATAGTGCTATTTAGCGGGCTAAGATCGTTTTAAATTAAAGTAGTTTTATTTCTTATTTTCCTCTTCATAAATTGAGAATGTTTCCTTACACAGGAATAAATAATTATTTTTCTCTGCATGTAAACTTCTTTCTTTTCTTGTAACAGTGCATTGTTACGGTCACATAATTTCTCACTTACTTGCGGTAATCGACGGTAATTACTAGTTATTCTGTGGTTAAGGCCTTTTGCATTTAAAAATACTATTCTAGTATACTTTTCGTTTTGCATAACTGTATTCCTGCTAGTTTTCGCTTAAATGTAGACTGGTTGTAGCTAACTGCGAGCAGCGTCTAACTTAGATTGTATTTCAAACTTGTCGTAAACTTGTAAGAAGTTTGTAATAACCTAATTCGATATACCGCTCTACGAGCTAGAACTATGGACATTCTGAATTAATCTTATTTGGAGATACATTCTACTCTAGATAGATTTATATTATGTAATTCCAGGCGTAGAATGGGGACGCGTTCTACTTTATTGCAACCCTATTTAAACTTTCTTAAAAAAGTTGTTAAAATGTTTTTCACGCAAACTTGCATTTAGTAATGTAATAATGTAATAAACTTCGTTTCTAAGGACCGATAAAATTATTTTTCAAATTCATGTTTCTTTTGGCGAAGGAGGTGTAAAACTAACTTCGATTTGTTCTTTGCACGACACTTCGATAATCCCCGAAGCAATTCAATTTAAGCAGCCAAATTCACCCGATCAGAATCTTTATAATCCATCGAATTTGAAACGGGCGAGAACTTAAGAGTGGGTAGTTGACCCAATTTTATGCTTCAAATCACTGCCTTTCGCCACCCTATTCTACACAAACTGCGAAACCTCGACGAATCGCTGCGTATAGTATTGCATTTACCCTGTACGTACCCAAACGCCGCACCATATTCCAAAACATCCTTCGCCGGTCCAAAAATATCCCTCGACGCGGTCCACAATTCCGAATACAATAAGCAATATTCCAACCACAATGTGGCCTATGGCAATGAGCCTTGCACTTTTCAAGTCCTTTACATCCACCATGGCGATAATCTAAATGTTGACAATGGCGACGGATGCAAAACACATCTCCATAAACTTATGTCCAATAATATATTCAGGATAGTTGAACACCATTTTGAATAATTTAAAGTTGCTCGTCCAAAATCTGGGTCGAGAATCTTGAAGTGTATTGTCATGTAAATGTGCAAAGCTGTCAAAGGGGCAAGGAGGGCGAACACGCACCCCCCCCTGTGCATTTCTTTAAATGAAGGAAATCAAAGGAACGCTTCCAGGAAGAACCGAGTCTCTTTCTTATCGATGTCACCCGAGGGGGCAGGGGAGGGGAACTAAAAGAAAAAAAAAAACTCACGAGGACGAGGCAATGCAATCCGAGTGGGTTCGAGAACTGGTGCCAGGATTAAGTAAAGTAATCTTGAGCAAGAAAGTTTGCTCTCACAACGTCTCCCAGACTGAGAAGTGAAGAGACAGACTGCAACTACGCCGACTATAAAATGGTTTTGATGGAGTAACATCCTAGGCGGCCGGAGTACGAACACTTGACGTCGCTTCAATTCACTAAAACTGGAAGTTAGTCCACGTTGCGCGTATGATTCTGCCGTCAATTTTTTGACTCATCAGCCGTAAAGTTTAGATATTTTAATTTCCAGCAGGAAAGGATGACAACCCCCACCCCCACCCCCACCCAGCAAGTTATTCTCCCTCCTCCCTCATCCTCTCCTTCCCCCGCAAAAGGTTTATGGTAGATATCCGCTGAACGTAAAGAGTGCAGAACCAGACGGAAATGGCCTACATTTATTAGAGAGCTTCTGCGGTGAAGAGTAGTGAGTCAGATTCTTTCCTTTGCAAAACGACTTTGAAGAAACCAGTCAACATTTCTCGCCAGTTTAAGAACAAGGGCCAAAAGTAACTCCGCACAACTTCACCTGTAGCCGACTAGATTAATAAAATAATAATAAAAATTAATAGACTAATACAACTTTTTGGACAAGTTACCGGTATGGCATAAATTAGTTGATCTTTTACCAGATACACAACTATTATTATTATATAGATACTGATGAAATACCAGGATTTTTCCTTGTACTAAAAAATCATATCTTCATCGCGCGCAGTGAAGAAACCACTCTCATCTTTCACGTGTGAGGATATTGGTGTCGCCGTGGTTACTAATATGATTAGCCAATTACAAGAGAGCTTCCCGCTCAGGCGCGCGGGTGGTTCTTTTGAAATTATGTGGGAATTTCATCAGTATCTAAAAGATAAATAGAACACGACGTGGCCGCTTGGGGATACGAATTTCATCTTGTCGTGCTGAAAGTATTTGTCACACGTTCGCTTCGCTAACTCGTGGGAGATACTTTCAGCACTCGAAGATAAAATTCGTATCCCCGCGCGGCTATGTAATATCCTCTATTTAACACAACCAAAAATTGTCGATAATTCCTGTAGTGTGGTTTCACACCTTTCAATATTTTCATCGATTTTTGAGATTTAACTTCTAAATAATCTTCTTTTCGTCAGTCTCTTAAATATTCCTTCACATTTTATACCAAAATCACTTCACAAATCATCGCACAACCATTCATGAAATCATCATTTGCGATATTTTGGACAAACGTGACAACTCAGACAACACACATTGTTCCTCTTGGCTTAATCAAAGACCGCTGTACTAATACAGTTCATTTTAGCATCTTGACTCGAAATAAACCCTACTCGGAATTTTCTAATCTCCGTCTCCAATCAATCTCGTTTTCACTACATCTGAGACACAAATCCACGTGACCAGAACTAAAGACAACACGTGCACATCACGTGCGCTTCATGGAAGAGGGGATAAATCGTCTTCCCGATGGTAGTCAAAATGCTGCTGATATTTGGCCAATATTTTCTGTAAGGAACGCATATCTAACCACCATTGCTCTTTGGGGACGCGGTGTCTGAAGAAAAATGGACACAATACATAGTTAAGTTTGAGATTCATAGACTTCGATACCCGAGATGTTTCTCCAAAACTAATTTGTACCCATTTTCAGCAGAACGCTTCTGACTTGTACTTCCATGTGGTACGGTTTACTGTGCTACAGCAAATAGTATTTCCATAGTAAATTTTCACCACAAGGATCAAACATCCCTGTGCGCAAACTCACAGCATGACATAGCCCCTTTAATCTAAAGTGACTGGAATGAGATGAATTCTAATACACTCACTTAAAGTCTGTGACACTTTTCAGATCTTGAACTGGCGTGAAAGGGTTATCAGACTTCTTGATACCCAATAGACAAGCAGTGCTTGGAGATGAAGTTTCAACAGATCCTACAAAAGAATTACCAGAAGTCATTCGCCACTGTGCATTTACTCTTTCTGGGTTCGTCTTCTTCTTTAGATATTGTTCAATGTGTCATTTTCCCTCGGAAAACATAACTTGGTATATTTAGTCGAGAAAGATAAAGATTGACGACGAAGATGTGGGGGGTGGTGTGGGGACGCAAACTGTGCAGTATGATAGTCAGAGTGAGAATAGTCTTAAAAAGGCCTGTTGTCAATGTTAGTAGCTGACCCTTCGACAGCTTTAACGGAAGTCATCATCAGAGGAAAGTGAAAAGCCTTGTTCTTTTATTATTTCAGTGGAATGCTTTAAGTCTGTGCGATGAATTGGTTGCCCGTGATCTTATCGGATGTAACACTTAAATAGAGTTCCTCAGTCACAAATAGTCAGTTTCGGTCCGTTGTTAAGTCAGGTTCTGTTCAGTTTCCTCGTCAACGTCGTCAATCAATGATTCGTAAAATACCAGCGGTTTCCGCCGATCGTTGTTAACCGACAAAGTCCTCTTGAGGACTATTGCCACACAAACGATTACACCATAACATCAACTGCTATTTTAAAGTTCAAACTAAAGTAACCTTTAGACAGTTGGTATAGTGGAAAGTCGGTTAATTTAGTAACTACGTGGGCTCTCGCCGTCTAAGTCTTTGACATATTTGCACGACAGCCTACAATCGCGGAAAAAACTATTAAGCCATCCAAACAAAATGTACCGCTTTTTTCAAACTCGACTAATATATTCTATTCTTTTTGAACTCTTTCCTTCCCCTCTTTAAAAACCGTTACCTTGATCTGTTAGATTCTCCCCAATCCTTTCAGTCAGCCAGTTAACGGCCAAAGTCGCCTGTCTGGTGGCCTGGATTCGATCAAAAGGCGACGGAGATCCACCCTGACAAACATGGAAAATACAAAAACAAAAAGCTGTTGTGAAACACGACCCACTAAATCTTAAATCCGTAAGAAATTGCGTATTTAGGATAAAATTGGCTCGCTGTTCCAATATATTGTGATCTGAGCGGTAATGTGAGAACAATTTTGTCGCTTTTTGTGGCTGACAAATGTCCTCTTCATTTGTTCTTTGGGATTTTACGAAAACCAATCTCGTTATATGGGCATTTTCTCTAAGACTTACAACGAAACGAAAACTTTCCGGTGGAACATTTGGGTGAGCTGTCTGTAAACAAAATTGTCCAGAAATGGAACGCAATCGTACAACGCCTAATTTGTAGCTTCACGTGACTAAGCACGGGCAAATCTCGTGAACAAGCATCAGATTCACCTGCTGCACGTGACCAAGTACATTGGTTCTGACGGTGAAAAGGCCCTCTCCTTCTTCTCGATATAGAGCCGAGATGAAGTCCGTCGTGTAATTTTCGCTGCATTTCTCGTTCCTGCGTAAAGGTAGAAACAGATTTGAGCATTCCTGTCGAAATTTACAACGAACAGTCTGGTTTCGAGTAGTCTACATCAACAGTGCGCTGTACTCCGGGTTGGGAGGTTTGGATTCGAGACCTGGCGGGGTCAATGTGTTGTGTTCCTGGGCAAAACACTTTCCTCTCACAGAGCCTCTCTCTGTCCAGGAGAATAAATGGGTACCGGCGAATTATCAGACAAGCCTGATGAAATGTTGGGAGGTAACCTTGCGATGGCATCCCTTTCAGGGGCGGGTACTGATACTCGTAGTTATTTAATGCCATGGAAACTGGGATAAACTTGGCTGCATGGACCTTTTAGCTTCAGTACAGACTTTTTAATTGACCTTCAGCAATAGGCGTTCTTACCGCAAAATGAGTCCTCGTCGCACAGAACCTTTCATCTTGTCTATCAAATGTTCGATGTTTTTCTGATGAAAAGGCAAAACATAACAAAGGTGTGGCCACACTTAAAAGAGTTTCTTAAATCTATAATGCAACACAGTTTTTAACCCTTTGTACCCTAACACCAGCATTCAGATTCTCCATAATGTTCTCTATACATTTTCTAAGGTGCTGACGAGGAGAATTTGTTTAATAATCATGAGCTTCTTTAGACAGTGATCATTTCTCTTTTTCTTGTGAACTTATTGTGTGATTTAAGGGGTGAAATGGTAAAGAGAAATTAGATTCTAGTCACTCTTTGGGGTCAGAGGATTAATGGAATTTCTCACAGGATCATATACATCCAGAAAACTTAAGCCCAGATTTTAATTTGTTCAATCATAGCGGAGCTCGCAGAGCGTAACCCCATAATTATACAAAATAGTAGTTACCCATCAAGCCGAAAAAATTTGGATGTACGACCGTACGACCGTACAGGGTGCTACTTTTAACATGCGTGGTTAACTCTACCGCGGGCACGCCAAAGCTATGGCTTTATTCAGTAGTCCAGTGGTCAGTGCACTGGGCTCCGAATCGGACGACCTGGGTTCTAGTCCTGGCACACACGTGCAGGAAAAAAAATGCGAGCTCCATTAAATCTATATATTAATTCATTCGTGTTTCTTCTTGGTTTATAATTCCCAATATTCTCTTCTTCAGTCTTACCCATCTCATACCTTGTCGTTTCTTTCAGTTTAAAGGTAGTTTGATTCATGAAATAAAAGTCTTTACAACATCGTGAATTTGCGAAACTAAAATGATAGGGGTTCTCGGTCGGGAGCGGTTATAAAGATCTTTCAAAAAGAAAAGAAAAAAAATAAAACGTAAGTAATCCGTGAAGTTTATGTATATTAAGGCATCCTCAGAAATTTGACACACTGGTACACACCTTCAAATCTTCAAGAGTAAGTTTCTCTTCAAAGACGTACGCTGCGTCAGCTCCTCCCGCGAGGGCGCTCATGGTTGCTAGGTAACCACAGTAGCCGCCCATGCACTCAACAACAAACACGCGTCTCGTTGCACTGCTGGCAGACTGCTTGATGCGGTCACAATTCTGTCGGTGAAAGAAAAAATGAAAGGAAATGAAATCATATGAAATGAATACAAAAAAATTGAAATTACATGACATTAAATGAAGAAAGCTCAAGTATATAACAGAAATTTGGTTTTATCAATTGTGTTGCTAATGTAAATTGGCCATCGTGAAGAGTTTGTAAAGCTGACGTTACGAGTGTTAGTGTAAGAGTGTAAGAGCAAATGACGTTATCGACACAGCTGATAAAAGCAAATTATCATTTAGAACCCTCTATCGATGCAAAACCACACTTTCTTTAGAAATTTACCACCCTTATTCAAACTTAGGAAATTATATTAAAATCCGATATCGAATGGTTTCCTTACTTTAACGTTCTAGATTATCATTACTGAACTTAGTTTTGCACTTTCCTACAGACACAGCACGGCAGAATCTCTAAAAAGTTAATCGATCACGCTGAAAGAAGTACGAAGTCTTTCATTTCTTTATCTTATTCAGCAAAGACTCCTGTACACAGAGATGCATTTTAACCGCCGCCGGGGAAAACTGGTATTTCTAAACAAAGCTAAGAAAATGCCAAACCAATAACAAGAAACCAAGAGTTCTAACTTCGGACAGTTAGTTCGAGAGCCTCACCTCTGTTATCACATTGAGAGCTGTGTCTACTCCTAAACTTAGATCTGTACCGGGCACATTGTTACTAATTGTGGCGGGAATGATAACCATTGGAATGCGGAAAGCTGGGAACTTGTCACGGGCTTCTGCAAGCTCCAGAACAGCGTTGTAAGCCTTAGGAAGAAAGAAATCACGCATGATTACGACTTACTTAGCAAAACTTGGGCGTTTTTGATACTATTTCCAAGGAAACAGACAAAAACATGCCAAAGCAGCAATTCATCGAAGAATTAGTGTTTTATACCGACTGAAACACTACCTAATCAATGAAAAGTTGGTTTGATTCCAAAATGTGGCCCCGTAGCTCAGCTAATAGTGGAACCAAAACACGAGCTTAGTCCCGGAGTGAGACGATTTTTCAATTTCTCCAATTTGTTAAAAACTAGCAAACAAATAAACAAACAAACAAACGTACCAACAAACAAGAAATAATAACAAAAATATTAAAAAAAGAACACGCAAACAGTAAAAACTGCATAAAAACACAGCCCGTGTAAAACTACGGGAACGGTTTTTTCCTTGCGAACATAAAACAACGAAAATTTGCTGATATTGTGTAACGTGGTGAAACTGATAGGTGGCAAGACAATAACCTCGCCTTACCTCAAAGCCTCCAATAACCAACAGTCCTTGAATCCCGTGTTTAGATAACTTTTCTGCAACCTTTTGCATATCTTTAGAAGGTAAGGTTCTGTAGGTAAAAAGTTAACGTGTGAGGAAACACTTTACGTAAAATGATCGCTGGCAGTGTCCTTACTAGGTCAGTCTGTATGTAGGCTAAGCTTTCACGCATCAAGTTTTCTTTAAGTCAGAAAAGCTCTCTAGCACCGTATACCATACAGCAAAAGCGACAAGACAGCAATTTTAACATTTGGTCGTCGTATTTCCCGCAGAATTAGATTTAATCATCATGACTTTCATTGACCGGTAAGGCCCCGCTCGCGGTTTTATCGAAGTGCATTATACACAAATGCCTGTATCCAGGCCGTAGGCGTTGGCGTGGGCAAGGTCGGAAAAATAACAACAGTAATAAGATGTATACATACCTTGTTGTTCCCAATTTGGATCCTCCTGCCCCTGCCCAAGAGTCGACATGGAGCCATCCTAGTTGTTCCACCTGTTTAAGTTTATTGCCAAAGGATAAAGGGGGTAAATTTCTAGAGAAACTGTGGTGCTGCGTCGGTGGGAGAGTATAACAGGGTAATTTAGTATTATCAACAGAGTTGAAAACGTAAATTGGCCACCGTAAAGAGTTTAAAGGCTGACATTTCGAGCGTTAGCCCCTCGCCAGAGCGTTCCAATCGCTCTGACAATCAAATGGGGTCAGCTTGAATTAACAACCATTCACCAGGGGACATTCAGCTACGTCAAAAAGGTATACACTCTAAGTGTTCTTACATGCCCACTCTTGTCTGATACATCTCCGTAGCTGGGGAGTCTTGTTAACCAAAAAAAAACAAGAAAAAAGAAAAAAAGACTTCCAGCTGCGTAAGCTATCTATCTGGCCATAAATATTTTCCATACACTTAGAAAGTCCAGATATTTTCTCCTTTACAATAAACGTCTTTCACTTTCTTTTCATCCCTTTCTTGTGCATCTTTTAATGCATTTTTATGTGTTATTTCCTAATTTCTGCGTTATTTCCAATATAATTTGATTAAGTTAAATTCAATTTAGTAAAGAAAAAATTGACCCGCCTCGATTAGCATCTGTCATCTGCGGGTCAAAAGAATATCTTGTATTCATTACCTTGTCATCAAAGAGCCCATTGATTCCATCTCTGATTCCCAGCACTGTGTGTCCCTGATAGAGTGAGAAGCGGACAAAGGCACGGACAGCAGTGCTCATGCCTCCTGCAGGGGCACCAATGTTGATAACTGCCAAGGTGTGACCAGACTGAACAGGACAGAATTGGGTTAGAGGCGGGAACAGGTGTTGGGGGTATTAGCTAGCAGAATGCGAGGAATAAAGGGAAAAAGGAGAGAAAGAAGAAAGGAGGGATAGACAGTGAGTAGAATGAAAGATAAGTTGGGGGAATTTGAGATAAGAGGAAATGGTGTAGAATCAGGGATGCAAGGGAAAAGGAAAATAAGAAAAAAGGGAAGGGAAAATGATGGAAGGAGGTGGCGGGGGAGGGAGAAGGGAACAAAGGACGAAAAGAGTGACTAAAGGGGGAAGATGAAGAAAGTTGAGAGGAGGGAGAGGGAAGGAATCAGAAAGATAAGAAGGATGTAAACACATCCAGGAAAAGCCGAGAGTCAGGACATGTAGTGTCGCAGATGGATATTTGAAGATATAGGTGGACACTGTAAATTCTTTCTTCTCAGAGGGAATTGAAACGTCTCAAATTCACAATTAAGAATTACTGCATCTTTGAGTATCCAAATATTTACGAAGAGAGCATGCATACTTTGCAAGTGCCAGATATATCACACTGGCTCGAGACTGGAGGCTCCACTTCCTTCAAGACTTTGAAAATATCTATGTTGCTCTGGAAGGTTCTGAAATTAAAAAAAAAAAAAACATCCATTGGTAAAGGGATACCTATCTGGTAAAACTTTAACTTTCATTACAGTCTTTTGAATGCCAATTAAGGAGGAAATGATAACCAATTGTCTTAATCTAAAACGGTGCTGTGCGAAACAGTAAAGGAAAATAGAAGACTTATGAGGGAAATAGTAAAGTTACATAATATCACACGTTGTACCTTCCTCTCAGTTCGACAACTTTATCAAAGTTCTTTGCTTTCGTTGCGTCCTTGACTTCCAGAGTCTGCAGGATAATATTTACACTGAATGATGAATGCTGATTATGAAAAATAGGTTTACATTGTAGACATGTGGGTAGTGCTTTTTCCATGTTGCCATGGGTCTGTTCAGTAATAGATCACAGAAGACGTTAAAATGCCGTTAGAACATCAGTGATACATTCGGGTGCACCATGTGAACCACTCTTTTTTGTTTGTACCGCATTTTGACGTCATCAGTGATCTATTACTGAACATGAGTATGGCAACAGGGAATCGCTTTGCTACTTTGACAACATGAATTACAAACGCTATGTTATAAATGAGTTTACCTTACGGACACATTCCATGAGTCCTCTTTTCTTGATCTTGTTTCCGTCCAGGCAGATTACACATGGGGCAGTATCTGGCTTGGCATCCAAGACAGCAAGGGCTGCCTCTGCTCCCATGCGACAAGACTGCAAAATTGATATATAAATGTACCACTTTTTTGCAAATACAAAAGCTAAAGATAGTTGTGCACATTGCAGACAGCAACCCTACATGGTTTATTATATGACCTATTCACCTAGTTGGTAATGCTAATTGAACTGCATGAAGTGCGATTTGGTCTGAAATCTTACATTTGATTTCAAAATCAAATGAGCGTGCTACGCTAGTTAAATTTGAAATCAATAGAAGTATGATTTCAGACCAAAATTGCACGACATAAAGTTTAACCACCACTTCATTACATTCGTTTTGCACTTCTGATTGGCTGAAAACTTGTAACACAAGTGCAAAGTTCTAACATGAGTGCAAATTACAAATAACTTGCGCATGCTGTCAAAATTTCATCTGCCGTGACTTCCTGTGATGCTTTCTTCATGTAAATTATTAACTAGTAATTATGGGCTTGTGCAATTTTGTTGTCTTTGAAAAATATGTTCATGCTTATTAATACTAAATTGCACTCAAACTCGTGTAATTACCGATACCAAAACAATTACCAGAATTCTGTCAAAAGCAGATGGGATTCCTCCTCTCTGGACATGTCCAAGAATCGTGACTCGTGCATCGTGCTGGAGTTTTGTCTTGACAAGCTGTAAAAAAAAAACCACACAAAATATAGGTTTTTGTGCAAGAACTTTCTCCCTGACTAAACACAATTCTGAATGACTGTTATGTAATACTATAAATTGCACTGTGTACCTCCTTAATGTCATTAGCAGTGACAGGGTTTCCTGCAACATCCTGAGCACCCTCTGCCACAATGATCATACATAAACGTCTTCCACTATCCCTGACCTAATAGAAACAACACAAAAGACGGCAGTACTGTTAATCTCTAACAGAAAATTTCAGGTCTTAGGTCCGCTGGACCCCAAAAAAACAACAACAACAACAAAAAATTCACAAATTCAATTGCATTGCCTTAGAGTCAATCAGAATTGTAAGCATCACCAATAGTTTCAAAATGAGTGTAATATATGTTGAAATACCACAATGATAAGAAAAGAACTCCTACTTTTCTCAAGTGATTGCACATTTTTTCCTCCCAACCTTCTTGGACAGGCCATTCAGGGATGAAAATCTAAAAACAAGATGATAAGTTGATGTCCAATTTGGTGTACAATTAGACCAGTGGTTGACAAAATTGGACAACAATGAAGTGGGAGTACCACTTGATAACCATAACTATATTAATGGACAGAATTGGATGAATTAAAGTCCTGTTATCAGTTACAAGCCATCAAAACTAGCATGAAATTTGAGAGACAAAACAGCAGTGGTTTCATCCCTTTACTCCCAAGATCTCATAGGTAATTCTCATTACTGTCTACCATACAATTCTTATGAAGATATTTCAGAGAATTTGGTATTAGATCAACTAATAATCCACTAATAAACATTTTTCTTTATTCTCATCACTTGTCTGTTTGATATTACATTGATATTGTAAGGAGAAATTCTTTCTTGGTTATTCATAACAGTTTAGTGAATGTTAAATTCTTTCATAACTAAAAGCATTGCAAAATAGTTGACTTTTTGCATGCATATATGAGCCGTAAGTCAAGCCTCTGAAATGTTCCATTTAATTCAGATGTATCTCACAGGAAAAACATTAACATGGTTGTGCAATTTGTGGTGAGTTTGATTGAAGGGATAAACTTACATAGTCTGCACCAACTCCCAAGCCTGTAACAAGAGCTAGGTATCTGCAAAAAATTTTATAAAAAATCAATACAAAATTTGAGTTACACATGTATATAGCAGAGCAAAGCTTCAACTATTGTACATTTGGGGAGTGTCAAAGTCTCCATATAAAACTGTGCTAGCCTGTAAGACTAACTTTCTCCAGGACTCCAAGGAAGAGAGAAAACAAAACAATATCAAAAGCAAAAAGAAAGGGAAAAGTTTTGAAACACCCTTGCTTTTTTGATAAATCATTTGCCACCCAGGAGAAACAAAAAAAGTCTTACCCACAATGTCTCCCCATAACTTCAAGGACAAAAGTCCTCTGATGGCTGTAGACAGAAGTACAAAACTCCAGTCAAACAAACATTTTTTCATAGGTGAAAAGCTTGAAGTTACCTTCTGCTTGATTCAAAGAACATAATAGACAACAGAACTAAAAGCAAAAAAAAGCGCAACAAAAAAGACCAAAAACTTAAATTTATACCTTGAAGCTGTTGTTGTAATGGCATCTACTGCTTCAAAAATCCTATGAAGTGCTGAATCAGCTCCAATGGTCATATCAGTGCCACAGAAATCATTGTCAATTGAGCCAACCTAAAAATGAAATATTGCAGCACAATGATGAACCTAAAAATGACATTATGCAACATGAAAATAATCCTCAAAATGTAGCAAAATATTTTGGCAGGAGTCTGCAGTATTACAATTCCTCAGGAGAGCATCACTCAGACTCTGTTAAGAACACAGTGTCCTCTTGGCCCTAAAAAAGAACTTCCCACCTGCAACTCAGACCTGTGAAGTTGGAATGAAATTTAATTAACACCCCTGCATGGAGTAATGACTGAAAAGTAACTATATGCTTTGGAAGTTTCAATCTACATGAAAACTCAGTTCATATATAATTATTGAACAGCATATTCTGAGGAAAACATGACTTACCATCCCCACTATATTAAGGTGATTATTTTCTTGTGCCATTTTTTCAGTCACAGCACCTGGAAATACAATTATTGATTTACTAATAATGATAATTAAATAAGAAGATAAAGCAATACTTACATATTAATAAATAAATAAATCATCTAATAAAATAAATGGCAAAACCAACTGAAAGACCAACTGGTAGATATCCATAAAATGGATATTTTTTTAAAGAAGATGTGGTGCTGCATTAGTGGGTATAGTATAACTGGGTAATTTGGTATTATCAGCTGAGTTGATAAATGTAAATTGGTCACCATAAAGAGGTTCTTCCTAGTGTAAGCTGACGTTTTAAGCATTTGCCCTTTGTCAGAGCAAAAGTTAGGCAAAGGTTAATACTCAAAATGCCAGGTTATAAACTCTTTACGGTGGCCAATTTATATTCATCAACTCAGTTGATAAAACCAAATCATTTTGATAGAAACCCAGGCAGACAGACAAAGATGTACATACTGGCAAGCAGGCACACAATCTCTGATAAACTGACTGGCTTACAGACAAATATTAAGAAGGTTGTTACAAAAACCAGGAATATGAAATGATACAAAAACTTGACTTCTTTCACACCTGCAATATAAATCAGCATAAATCTCAATTTTTGAAGTCAAAAATCAAGTCCAAAAGCCTATGATATAAACTTCATTCATCGTCCATGCTGTTTGCTGTAATGACCTTGAGTTTAAAGAACATTTGCTCAAAACTTGATTTTCAGATCCTTTTCCCATGTTGTCATCTTTCATTATGAACCGTTATGCAAATTACTGCAGCTGCAGTTTCAGTCCAAGACAAAAATTCCCTACTACTCATTATGCAATCTTTGTTTTAGTAACATCCTATTATGAAAGCCAAAAGATAAGCTAACAAAACAAACAAAAGTGAATATGAAAGTGACCTTCCCAGTAATGAGAACTAAGTAAGCAGTAGTGGAAAGAAGGCCCAAAAAAAAAATTCAGGCCTATACGGGATTTTTTTTTTTTTCCAGGCTCATTACTGCAAAGATTTCTTTCATATTCTTGTCTTTATCCGCAGTTCAAATATATGACTTTCATATATTCACAGCCGTTTAAAACAAACAAAGTTGGAAAGGTAGACAAATACACAAAAAATACACGAAATAAACTTTTATTTACATATAGGACAATAGGAAACATTTAACCACCAAGCTCAATCTTTTGCTTGATAAGCGAACAAAAACTCACCAGTTTCTAAAAGTTTTTCTAAAAGCTCTTTCCATTCCTGTCTGAACAGATTGGCCCCTGTCAAACTACCATCACCTCCAATAACAACCTGCAACAAAATGAAATGGAATTTTCTCAGTGTATTAATAATAAATTACTCCTTTAAGTTTCACAGAAAGTAATGCATGTGTGAGAGAATGAATACCAAATTGCACCTTAATGAATGACTGTATACTTGACTGCCTTAAGGTCTAAAAAACTACATGCGCATAACAGTTTGACTGATTGACCGACTGACTGAATGACTGATGGACTGACTTACTGTCTGACTGACTTACTGTCTGACTGACCTACTGTCTGACTGACCTACTGACTGCCTTAGCAATTAACTGAATAATTGACTGGCTGACTGATCGACTGACTGACTGCTTGCCTGATGAAAATGACTAACTGGTCATACAAATAACTGAATGACTGACTAATTGACTGATCATGATTGACTAACTGAATGACTGATGTGCAGATTGACCGAGCAACTGACTGACTGTATAAATAACCAAATGACTAACTAACTGACTAAGTGACTGATGCAATGACTGACAGACTGGCTGACTGCCTGACTGACTTGGGTCAGAATTTAATGTCAGACTGAATGCCTACCTGACTAAAAGATTTTATTAATTTTTTTTTCATTTAAAGAAGCAAATTCATTAATATCATAGCTGAATAAACAAGCTGAATTGTTTCATAATCACACCAAACAGTTAGCATACTTACTAAATTTGTTATGCCTAAGGTCACCATGTTCTTAGCAGCTGTTAAACGACCTTCACGCGATCTAAAATCTTTACATCTTGCACTTCCAATGACTGTTCCTCCCTAAAAGTAAATGAATATAAAATAATTAATAACTATCAACAGTGGAAATTACTTGTTACTACGATAACTTTATCAATCTTTCTAATCGGTATAAAGAGTTTTGATAAGGTAGACGCAGAAGGAAAGCAAACATTATTACTTGTATGCAATACATACCAGGATCAATTAATTATAATTCAAAGTTTCAAACTCCTTATGGCTCATTTCCTTGCACAAAATAAAGTATATTGCAAAGCAACACCAGACTCACTATCCAAACTAGTTACCACTTAAACTGGGCTCTCAGAGAGATGAGGTTACAAACCATTTTTGTTTGGCAAAATAATCCACCTGAGAGAGCTAATATTACAAAAATTATGCACAAAATGTAGGCCATAAAGTCAAAACGTAATGTACCATACAGATTTTCTCACTTACCATTCAAATTTGTTGATCGCAATGATGTTTGTACCTACAAGGTAGTGCGGAATACATGTACCTACCAGTTGAATGATACCAGACACTTCCTCCCATCTGACTTCTCTGATGTTATCACCACCATCCACCAATCCCTGATAACCCTTGGACAACAAAATCATAATGGTATGCATATTATGAAAATGAGATGATTAAAACTATACTTTCATAGTGGGTAACTTAGTGTATTACCACACTCCCCAAGTGGGATACTGATGATTTGTAAGTAACATGTCCAAATCCTTCCCCTCCTCACCTCTACTGGCATTTCATCAGGTTTTCCTAACAGCTACAGTACCACTCAGATATGTGTTAACTGTTTAAACGCATTTTATAAGCGCAGATACAGTTTGTCAGACATGCATATATGATATTCATGCATGCAAGGGCAAAAGACATGTGCCACTTATGCATCTTTGTTATTCAGTGCTGTAAGTTAATCCTTTGTGCGACATTGTTATGTAAAATAAAGAACTTTTGGGTCTCAAAAAGTGACATCAGTCAACAACAGAAAAAGACCTAGCTCATATGAACTAATAAGGCCGATGAGTCAAGCTTAAGTGGGTATGTGAGAAATTACAACATGCATATTTTTATTTATCAGCACTCACATGCAAATTAATTGCATTTTATATGCATTTTTAGGGTTACCTATATATATATATATATATATATATATATATTTGAGCAGAACTGTTACTAATACTCCTTTATATCACTGGGTATGGAGAAAAAGTGTATCTTGCCTAAAATCACAGCACACTGAACTAGCTAGGTTTAAAAGCACTGAGGACCTCTCTGCTTTGAGTTTGGGGTACAAGGTACTAAATTAACACCTTGCACACGCATACATCTGTGCATTTTTGTTTTCCTTTTTTTTTTTGAAGACCTACCAAATCAACTCAGGAAATAAAACCTACCTCCCACACAGTAAAGACCCTGGCTCCTGCATAGATACCCATCCTAACCACAGCTCTGATGGCTGCATTCATCCCTTAAAAAATAATGTAAGGATAGTAATCTATTGTATGTATATCGTATAAGTCATACATCCATTAAAATTATTTTACACAAAGAACTAAGATATACTGAGTAATACACACACTTGATTGATTCCTACACATGATCTATTGGAAGACAGATGCATTGTGGTTTGATTTGTCCACAGTGACTTTGTACAAAAAAAAAATTAAAAAAAAAAGGAAAGTTTTTTGTTTCAGAATATTACTCCTCAGAAGTTTGCTTTCATAATTCAAAATTTCATGCACTAGATCTCATTCTTCTTGCTCGTGTCTAGGCAAACCAAATATTTGGCACTCTTACTAATTTATGCAATTCAGTATGTTGTTTTGATCGGTGTCAAATTTAATTTGGTAGATTTCATGTACTTAATTGCAACTCATAAGTACTGTTTCGAGAAACGCAAATAAAATGGATTCCATTACAGGAAAATAAAGGTTTTAACAATAAATTTATTGAATAACTGACACCAGCTGCTCCGATGAAATAAAATTTTCCATCGGTTGTAAAAAAATTTCGAACAGCTCAGCTTGAATTGATGTGACTGACCAAGCAATAACATAATTTGTACCGGCGGCACAGATCGTTTGCAAAATAAAAATGTACTCCTCAATGACAAACATTAAATCTACGAAAAATCACAACAAAAAATTATGAAAATCCTAAGAAAAGCTTTCCAGTAATTAAAACATCGCACAATCTGGAAGAATGTAAACACTCCCTTGCATACAAATTTTATGTAATATCAACAAAAGTAGATATTTTTCAGGTGGAGCAAAATTTATCGTCTGAGCTCGAAAATGAGACAACAAAGATATTCGTAGACAAAATTTAACTTTTTCATACCTTGTGCATCTCCACCGCTTGTTAAAACAGCTATACATTGACCGGCTCCTTCGACATTCAGCAAAGTTGGCAATCGAGTTCGTGCATAAGCTTCCCTCTTGGCGGCCGGTTCATCTGTGTCAAAATCGAACGAAACATCTTCGGCTTTTCGCTTAAGAGGTTGTTTCCCGGTACCAGAAGGGGACATGAGTTGCTTTAGCCTCTTGGTTAGTTCGATGAGCAAGAACAAAATTACTTGAGACATTATTGTAGGTAATGTTTACAGACTTTACCCCAATTCACCCAAACACAGACCCCAATACATGCAGCACTGCACGGATCGATGCAGTGCTTTAATGCTTTCTTCACGGTCCAAAGGCCCGCGATTTGTCGGCCTGCGGAAATTCTATTGTGGCGATTTTTGCCGGAGTTTGGCCGATTCCCAGCGAAGTCTTACGGAAGTTGGACAGGTGTGTAATCAAATTTTAAATTCGCAAGAAGAATTCTCCTCAAAATAAAAAGAAACATTATTCCTGCATAAAGTAATCGCCACGTTGGTTTCAAAAAGGGTACGCGTTCCAAATGGTTTTAAGGGCAATACGCGCTAACAAACAGAAATAGCGTAAATTTTAGGAGATCGGAATTCAACGTCAAAAGTGCCAAACGCTTCAACCCTATATTTTTGCAACATAAATAATACACATCAGATATAAATTTTGCACCCAATGAATAACTAAATAAGAATCAAAATACCTTGCTCTCGTTTTGTTTCCATTGTTGCCCGGCTGCGAGGCATTCTCCGGTCCGATAACAAAGTTATTAGGACTATAAACAACTGATAGTACCTCAGGCTGTACAAATCGCCGCTTCTCGGTGATAGCGCTTCTCCAATGTCGAGAAAGTCGTTTTAATCAAACCACTAAATACAATGTTTTGAGGGGGAGGGAAAATTAACGTTTCTTCTAGGCCATCCAGGTCGAGCGACATTCATCGAAAATTACCATACATCTTTCGCGTAAAAAGTGCTGTATACACTTTATGTAAACGGAAGAAAGGTGGCTAAGAAAAGGTTGACAAAACAAACAAAAGATCCACTTTTACATTTAAAATAATTACCTCCAGATGGAAGTGAGTCATTAACATATTGGCCCCTTTAAATGTCAACTTTCGATATCAATTTTTCAAACACAATAAGCACGATCAAGACATAAAATCAAATGTTTAAAAAAACTGCATTTTCATGGGAACTGAAGAAAGATATGGTAAAAGTCAAAGGTTAAAAATGTCATCCGATATCATCTGTACTACGATTATATACATGACGTATTTTCCTTTTATTCAAAATGTTTGCAATGACACCTTGAATTGACAAACCATGGCGTCCCACTGTGAGACTAGTAATAACACAATTAATTTTGGATACAGAATTAGTTTTATACTGTTCAATAATTCATAGGTCTTTTTCCCCGCACACACTTGGCAGAAAATTGGGCTTGGACCAAGTGACAGTACAATGACTTTCCAACCGGGGTGGACCGAACATTATTTTGATCACCTCGGAGTAGATTTTAAGGGGCAAAACAGTCGACCTGTTTATGTCATTGTGAGTACTTAACCACGTGCAACCTAGTAGGAAGTAAGTTGAGGTCTTCCGGTCCTAAATACGTATTACCATGAGAATACGTAGGAGGGGGGAGAATGCAGTGGGGCAAGGGGCTTAGGCCAGGGGGGCCTTACCACCCTCTACTTTTTGTGGGGAAGACATTTATTTTAGTATGAGTTACATATAAAGAGTAAATGAGAAAGAAAACGGAAACGAAAAAAGTCCAGTTTCCCACGGATTATCCCATCCCCGACATCGCGATTTTTTTAAATTTTCTTTGGAAGAAGGGGAGAGATGGCCCTGACGTCCCCTACAAACTAGCCCCATCCCCCTTCTCCAAATAAAAATAGGCTCCCTGTCTCTAGCTTATTAACCCTCTTCTTTATTAACGAAAACTGGTACGACATAAATCGGATTATTAGCAAGCGGATGTCTTTTTTACTATTTTGAGGCCCAACACAAACATATTCGGCAAGGACGGTCGAAAATCTACACTTACGAACTCAAAGAAAAGCGGTTATGTTGTTCGGTGTCTTACTAGCAAAGAAGAAACCGTTTTCAATTTTATTGTGATCAAATGGCGTTTTGCTTGTTGGTAAAGGCCTCAGAGTGAGGATTTTAGTCGTTGTATCAGATATCAGAGTCCATATCGTCTGTTATAGCTGTTTTGATTAAAAAATTCAAGTACGAAATGAACTTTGAATGTTTTGTTTCACACTCATCCTCTGATTGGCTAAAATACAATGGGTGGCTCCTGAGACTGATACAAGATTTTCAGACAGTTTTAAATCTCAAAAAATTATTTTCGTTTGCACTCTTTTTGGATGGTTTTTGAAAATAATGCAACAGTCTTTAATTTCAAGAAATTTATCTTTGCCCAAATTGTTAATCTGGGAACACACCCTCACTATTTGGACTGCAGGGTGTTTGATTTTCGCCGGTGAGAAAATTTGAGACGTGTAGTAGCTTTTCTTTAACACTTTGATATCTAAGAGTGACCAGTATCTATTTTCTCCTTTTAATATTACCCCTGAATCACGCATTGAGATCATGAGAATGAAGAAAATGATCACCAAATTAACAAGCTCTTGATTGTTAAACAAATTCTCCTTGTCAGCACCTTAGGAAATGTATAGAGAACAGTATGGAGAATATGCACACTGATGTTAGGGTGTAAAGAGGACGTATAATAATTATTAAGTATTTTTGAGTTTACATTATTTAAATTTATCCTGTAAAAATGTCACGGGAATCAAGACGGAACTAAGATGCAACGAAATTTTTTCCAGGTTTGAAAGTCCACTTTGCTTCCCCCGCGTAAAAATATTTATTGTGATAAAATGACTTGCGTCAATATCCAAGATTATTCTTGATCTGATTAAATAAGATTTGAAACTTGTTCAAATGGGGTATGGCGAGGCTCGGTTCGTGGCGCGCTTTTTCAAAAATTCGTGAAAGAAAGCCTACACCCACTCTTGATCTGACGTGTTAAACTTCGTTTTTGGATCAAAACTGTACTCGCATAGGGAAGAAAAAAGTACTCGACGATTTTATCTCCTAGACCTGAATGTCGATAAGTCATCTTGAAGCTCTAGATCGGACCTTCAGAGTGCTAAATCGAGCATAGCTGGGTTATCTTAAGGAAGCAGGTGGCGCGCATGAGCAGTGAGAACGCCTTCAATCAAATGTCCCGCTTTGCCAGGTGTTTGTCTTAATCTCCTTCCCAGCCCTCCCATTCCAAACAAACTTTTGTTTCGACAAGGAGACCACTCGTGCGTGTTTGGTCGTTTGCATCCACTACATGACATCAACGTGATGATAGCCTAAAATTGCCTTTGAAGCACAGGAGCTATGCTCACAGTGAAAGATCTATAAATCAGTAGCTTATCACCAGTATTAGAATTGCAACAGAACTCCAGAACGTATAAACCTTTTTTTTTGTTTGTAGATGTAATCTGTTACATCGCGTCATAACTAGACATTTTGATAGAATAAGTAGCATTACCTCCAACTTAATCTATTTCTGACGGTTTAAAAAATTTTCTTGAACTGACGGAAGGGTTCAATGAAAAGCTTCCAGAGAGCTCGAGCTAGTACACTTGAATTTACGGATAGAACTTAACAGCTTTTTCTATCGAGAAAGTTTATCTCGAACCGCTACTTTGAACTATTCTACTGAGGACGTATATGTCATTTACAATGTTTCAAATCTCTTTGGTCGCGAAGAAGAACGTTTTTCTCGAGGTATATCGTCCTTTTTAAGATTGAAATCGACAATTGGTGGCTTACTTTCAACAACATTGTTCTCTTTTTTCCCGTTTTCTCGGGTTTCATTATTGTCAAATGTTTCGTTCGATGTCTGGACTTTAAATCCTTTGTCTAAATTATCCTCATCTGCACAATCCTGCAGAGCGTGATTCGACTTTGAACAAATGTTTTTTCCATTTTCTCCGCAGTTTCGCGGTGTCGATCTTTGCCCATCTTTCCACTCAAGTGTCGTGTCGTCTGTGCACATAGAGTCCCTTTGATCGAAATCCTCCGAATCTCGCCGCTGTACAACTGGAATCTTCCACTTGACTGTTTCTCGTCCTCTTTTCGAAGACTCCCTTCGTACTATACTCCGTAATTTTTCGCTCGGTTCAAAATTCTCTCTCTCCTTCACAGAGTAAACGCTATCTCGGGTTACAGGCAGATTGCGACCACTTATAGAGGCCTCCATCTCTCTGGCAATCACCTCGCTGATCCATTCCATATTCTCCTTACATTCTTGAGATAAAATTTGCAATTCCCGCATCTGAGTCTCGCTCAAGGCGGATCCGCGGGAATAACTGTCCCGTACATAGCTCCCGCGACGCTCACAGTCGTATGGAAACTCTAAGTCAATGTGAATTCCTTTTAGGCTCAAGTCCAACCGACTGTTCACGCATCGTTTTCGAAATCCGCTGTTCTCGTCTGCATATTCTAACTTTATGGAGTACACGGATTTATTTCTGCGCTTGCGACTACGGCGAAATAAAAGGAAGGCGCTGAAAAAAGCGCACAAGAGAACGCTTGGAATGATGGCAACTATGATAAGGAGCCTAATTTGACCGAAATTTGTTGATACTGCTGACGGAGATTCTGTGGAAATGTTCGCAGGCGCTGTGGCTAATGTATCCGTGGATGGTCTCGTACGAGTTGGGAGCACTGCGTCTGTTTTGGTTGCTTTATAGGTGTTCGAGCTTTCACCAGGAAAGGGAACCTGAGAAAAATAATCAAAACAAAGATTGATCACATCTATTCTCCATCATCAGAATTGACAGACACCTCTGTTGGCTGTTGGGTCAAATAAGTTCATCTATCTTTCAATTATAGTCGTGTAAGGGTACGAAAGTTAAGAAAAGCTGGTGTTCTGACGGTTTTCCTTTCTTTCCTTTCTTTAAAACCCTTAAAATGCCGAAGGAACACCATAAGTCTAGTTCGACTCAAAAATCCCAAAACCTCTCTAGTTTCGTACGCGCGACAAAACATGTTACGTCATTAAAATTTAAATCATTTGAATTAACCAATGCGCGCTCGCCTGGAATTGAACAATTAAAATGAAACAAAGTCCGTAATTGCGCGCACCAGGGCATAAGAGCCAACTGGTTTCTTTTAAAGTTATCTATCAATTCCACAAATAC